TCTTGAAATGCGTCAAATTAGAACTCTTAAAACCATTTGTAAGTAATGGACCTAACCTGTGACCAGGGTCAACCGTCCGTTGTTCCAGTTGGGAAACTCGGCTATTCCCCCTCTCTCCTCTTCTTTCACCTAAATCGTGACTAGACTCGTGAAACGCCACCCCATTCAGTTTTCATGAATACCGCCCATCCTATTTATTCACCTCTTGTCCTTTGCCAAATCGCCACCTCTTGGAATCCGCCACGCACGCGATTATGATTCGAAATTGTAAAAGCGATTATATGGGTGCTGGGTGCGTGCACTGTTCTATGTATGTAGGTTTGTTGAATATACAAAACCATCACCCTGCCAATACCATTGTGGTCATATTTGTCAACAAATCCACCTTTCAGGTACCATTCTGGGATGCCTACATCATAGCGCTTCATCGGAAGATCAAAAATGATCCTGTAGTTTTCCCCGAGACGTGAGTGTTCTCAGTCATTTACTATTTGGAGATTTTGAATGGATCAATAAATCAATAATTGTGGTGGTCACCTTTAACTCGACTGAAAATCAACCTTTTTTCAGTCCACATCTCAGTGACCCTCTGAAAGATGTTATCTTGGGGCTGTTGAAGAAGGATCCTGGCCTTCGATTACTCCTGCAGGAAGTCAAGGTGAGCAATTATTCCTCTTAGCGACGCTACGTTTGTTATTATTTGATTTTATTTTTTATTTGTTTGTCTGGTTACTCAGTTGTGTGTTTATTTGTTTATTTATTTGCTTGTTTGCGTACTTATTTGCTTACTGTATTATTTTTTCTACTTTTGTATTTTTATGGCATATTCTGAATTTTTTTCACTGAAGGTCATTACTAATTTCGTACAGGTGCACGCGTGGGTAACGCGTCGCGGCACGTGTCCGATGCCGTCGGAAGAGGAGAACTGTCACTTGGTAACAGTGACGGAGGAAGAGATCGAGAACTGTGTACGGGTTATTCCACGACTCGATACGCTCATACTTGTCAAAGCGATGGGTCATCGGAAACGCTTTGGGAACCCGTTCAGGTAACTTTACCTACCGTATCCTTCCCACATGCTTCTCAGCTACGGGTCCAAAAACTTATTATGCACGTTATTTCAGGAACACCGGGAATTCGTCGTTACGCGATCGACGGAAGTCGAGCTCGGTAAAGGACCCTACGTACTGCCCACCGTCGTCCATCACGAATGGAGAGAGCAGGTACTGCACAGTTCCACTTGGGTAGATACTGGAGCGAAACTCGGCCCGATAGGCGCCCGGGGCTTAATAGCGCTGAAAAGAGCGCAGGAATTGTAGGTCGCATAAACTTCGTATACTCCGGTACCGGCATTTAGAATGGGGGTCGGCCTGAGAGTTCTTGGTGGGTGTATGACCCTTTCACTGCCCCGGGGCTGAGGGCTGGCCTTGAACCCTTCGAAGTACGACCGCGTTTAATAATCAACTGACCGATGTTGCCCATTATATTTCAAGCTTCTTTGGCCCTGGCAGAATAGGATTGTCGTAGCAATTGCATTAGGTCGCAGTTCCCGGATGGTAGGTAAGGTACGAAGTATCGTATGAATCGGACCCTGGACCTCACACTTCTACATAGATGAACAGTAATCGAAAAAATGTGAGCGGCTGGCGCAACCGTTGTTGTTGTAATGTGAGAACAAGAGGTGGTCTTGCCACGCCCACTTTCAGGAAAGCTCCGCCCCCACCACTCACCATATTTCATTGAAGTTTTCAAAAGACTGTTTTAATTTTCTAAGTGAATGCATGTGAAGTTATTCATTTAGGCGTGACGTCAATGGCCTAAGTGAACCTATGTCGAAGTTGCACCTCTCTCCGGACAGCTATCCACCGAAAGCCGCATCAGCACGTCATTAGCTGACTGGCCGAATGCTGGACTGGCTCAGGACTCCGCAAGTCTGAGCCACATATGACTAACTCAGAGCCAGCTGCACTGACCTATGGCTTCTCGCCGAGTATAAACGCAGTCCTGAACTGCTGTGCAGCTCGATCCTGCAACGTGCGAAAGCTTGTTGGCCTACGCGCCTGCTAGAGTCGACGCACCGGGAAGTCGTTCACAGCGTATGATTCGACCTTATCGATGTGATCTGTACACTATAAAGCGTTCACATGTGCATGCATAGTACTTGCTGAGTATTGATTTATTGATTCATTGATTACGAGTTCATTAGCTGTATTTGTTCAGTTGTGTAGGAGTTGCTCTTGGCACTCAGCACAACACTAAATGATTCGGGTCCGTTATTCTTTCCATTGTTGTCTAGTCCTTAACTCAGATCTCTCAATCGTATATATTTTGTCGAACGCAGTTTATTTGCTTGCCATATTTGTTCATATATTTGGAAAGTATAAAAAATTGAAAATTTGTGATTCAGATTTTGGCCATGATTATTTTAACAGTTTGGCTGCGTGGTACCGCGCAATGGAGCTTTCGGAGTTATGGAACATGTGAGCATTCATTGCTGAAGTGAGCCACGCCCACATCGGTGCACGCCACGCCTCCCGTGAGTTTCCAGTAAGGCTCAAGTGTGCGCTGAGAACCTTGTCGAGGGAGTGTGCATTAGGTCCAATAAGGTGGGAGGGGGGTCGTGAGAGCCGAGATTGACAATGAACAGATCAGCGGTATCCCGTTTGGAGTGGAGAGGGACCGCTATACACGTGTATGTCGAGTGCACGGCGTGCCCGTGATTGAGTTTGACCAATGCTATGCTACCACCGTATCATGGCATTTTGACAACAACTGAATGGAGATTAAAATCGTTTAGTTTACGTGACTATAGCAAAGTTTCCGAATTAATGCATTGGAAGGAGGTTACAAGCTCTAAAAAATGTGTAACTGGCGCCTCAGCAGCCTTCAAATCTTCTTTCAGTTCGGAAACTCGTCCACTAATGAAGAAGGTTGGGGTCATCGCACCAACTACGCCCTCCGTCCCGTAGAACCTTTGGCCCCACCCTGTTGGCCGTGGATTGTCCACAAGTGTAGTTCAAAAGTTTGTTTCTTTACAAAATCATAGCTTCCATGCACGAACTGTAATTTTTACTATTTTTGGTGGAAATTATTCATATGGAGAAGGAAAAATTGAGTTCCCATACATGAGCTTTTAATCTGCCCGAGATTGACTCCATCTCATGCCGTTGAGTGCTAAAAATTAAAATCATTCATGTACAAACTTGAAAGCTTCAATCGATGGCTCCCTAATGGATGAAGCGGTCTATTAAGACATGAAAATAATGAAATCTTTCACTGCCTAAAATCTATAGAGTATTATTACCAACACCGACCTCCAATACATCAGTTTACGCCAAACTTCGAAAGCTTCTTCAATTCTTTTCGACAAAGACGTTGTGTATGTTTGTGATCAATTGAGCTTATCCCAGGTCCACGGGATCAGCTTACTCTCAAATTTCTAATCGTTTTTTTTTCGTTAGCTTTGACCACTACCCTTGACTTGATCTCTTCGATCATGCAGGCGGCACACTCATCTCCTACCCACACCCAAATCGATCGTTCGCGGTTGCATATATTGCGTTCTCAGCTTTTCTACATACTCAATCAACCTACTTTCTTAATTTCTTTACTTGAAGCTCTTGCCAATAAGCTCACTCCTGTTTATTTCTTGAGAATGCATTGCGTAATGGAGAGCTCCATTTTGGGTTTCCGCAGGATTTCTTTTTTCTGGAAAAATTGGGATAGGAACTTTCATCAATCTATTTCCGCAATTGTGTCACTTTGAAACACCCTGCACCAGAGTCAACCCTGCGTTGCGCAGTTCGCAACGGCACGTTGAGAGATCCTCAACGCACGCTGTATGGGCGGAGACACAGACGGCTCGAGCATGCGAGTGTGAATGTTCGCGCGAGAGAACGTGTCTAATCGGGCGAAACTGCGCAACGTGGCCGTTGAGAACTGCGCAACGCAGGGTTGACTCTGCTAGCTTTGCGACGATTCCTTCCTTGTATGAGGCAGGTTGATCCGACTACATGTTTATAATCAAGTGAAAAAATACTAATATCGCCAAAATGACTTCACCGATCACCTTTTGTTCAAATTGACGTTACGAGCATTCTCCGTTCCTCTTGTCCTGCAATCCCGTACACACGTCATATTTCTAGAAAAAGTAAGACGTTGCGCGTCGGAATCAACGCCGGACATCTGTCACAAATGTTGTCGGTGGAAATGCTTCCACATGTTTCATGAACAGCCACCACAAAACCCTTTTTCTCTCACTTTTGGCAAAAACATTTCACTCTTCCACTCATCCTATTCTATCGGTCATTTTGTCTACATTTTCTTAAAATTCGGACGCCTCATTTCTATTCTTTTAAGACATCGTCTTACACGCGACCACCATACGGCGTACTCTTTACACGCGCTGCCCTCGACCTGCCCATCCGTCCAAACCGGCCACAATGTGCGGTTTTTGACAACTTGCTTCTTTTCGAAAACCCATTTTTCATGCACCAAACTCTATGTACCAGCTCGAGCGGTACCTATAGCTCAAGGCCGTATTGAGCAGTTGATATGCGTACGGGAATTTCTCACTTCTATCATCTGAAATTCATATTTTCATAGATGTTTTTCTGTCGAAACAAATCGAGCTAGGCTCTTCTATTAGTCATGTGCCTACCAAATTGATTGGGAGCGTGGCCTTTGTTTGTTTGAGAATATTGTTAGTGAGTGCCGCTGATGTAAAACGCAATTTCAATGCGCCAAACCTTGCCCGTGGTTTGGGAGTCGCAGAGAGATTAAAAGCTCTCTTCAATCTTG